CTAGTACTGCTGATAAATAGTGTGCAAATCACTTCCCGTATCTGACACCTCGATCCCAGATCAAAACTCACAGAGGACTTTATGGGTGGGTCACAACAATACATTATTTTCTGTTTGACATAAACAAAAATGCCTCGAGAGTTTTGCGAACTGTTTCAGCGCGACAAAATCTTGCCAACCATGCCGAACGCAAGATTGCCATGACATTACCTGTGATCAGCAACTAAGGGTATAGCTGCTTTTGATCTAGCAGTAACTTGGATCTCCTTGGCATTTTGATACGCTCTCAGTTTAGGTAGGCGAACTGTAGACGGCATGTACATTTCATTAATCATTAATAAACCACGTCTCGGCCTCTGCTGCAACGGCTTTCTGGAAGGGATCTCTTTAGTGACTAAAGCAATGGCCCGCATATACGCTGTGCTATTTCTATAGACTTTGGAGCCGATTCTTTACCGCGTAACTCCTATTATAGTGCATATACATGATACAAAAAAAGCTCGACATTAAGTTAGGATGGTATTTGAAACTGCAGGTTTCTCTGTAACTCTGAATGTAAATAAATACAAAATTGTGAACTTGAAGCATTCATTATTTTATTAAAATATGACTAAAGCAGATGATATGCTAATGCTATGATATTAAAGCCTACAGAAGTTAGACACATATGATAAGGCATGCACCAAAAATTTCTAAAAATACCGGGAGACCGCTCGCTAGAGGAGAGTAATTAGGCTGCGCCTCTGATTGGACGCCCGACGCCTGTGATTGGTCGGGGCGCTAACGAGGCAAGAGGCTCAGCCATGCGGGAAGAGTGCAGAGGCAAAGAACAGGACGAGTTTTGCGCACTCTAAAACACATGCAGAGTTTGCTGGCAAAATGCCAAAGCAAGGGATCTGGCTTAAAATTGTTGGAAAAGAAGGGTTTTTTTCTACGACAGAGTGCGCTCATTGTTTTTCTGTTTCTTACATTGTCTATTTGCTCCTTTTGTTAATATTAGCTTCTTTTTCTCATTTCTCGCGTCGTTGAAACTTGATTTTCGCATTTAATCGTTTTTTTATTCGGATCACGTCGTTGAGATTTTAATAAAGATTTATTCTTTTTGTTTGTATCTGTAAATTTTATTCGATATAGTGCATGCACAGTGAACACATTTGAATAAATACATAAGACGATAAGATATCTTGAAACGATTAAA